GCGGGCCGGGGCCAGGCAGCACCTGGAGGTGAACCTGGAGAACGGGATCCTCTTCGTGAACGAGCGGATTGACCGGGAGGAGGTGTGCGAGGCCGGGGGGACCTGCCTGCTCCACCTGCAGCTCCTCGTCGAGAGCCCGCTGGAGCTCTACCGCGTTGAGGTGGAGGTGCTGGACATCAATGACCACGCGCCCACCTTCCCCTGGCAAGAGTATGTGCTGGAGGTGGCTGAGTCTGCTGTGCTCGGTGCCCGCTTCCCACTGGAGAGTGCCCAGGATCCTGACATGGGTACCAACTCGGTGCACACCTACCGGCTCAGCCCCAACGGTTTCTTTTCACTCGAGGTGCAGACGCGCAGTGACGCCAGCAAGTTTGCAGAGCTGGTGCTGGAGCGCACCCTTGACCGCGAGCAGCAACGCACGCACCGGGTGCTGCTCACCGCTCTCGACGGCGGTGTCCCCGAGCGCTCAGGCACAGCTCACATCCTTGTCACGGTGCTGGACGCGAATGACAACGTGCCTGCCTTTGACCAGTCCTCGTACGGCGTGAGCCTTCCTGAGGATGCCCCTGCCGGCACCCTGGTCATCCAGCTCAATGCCACTGACTTGGATGAGGGCCCCAATGGAGAGATCGAGTACTCCTTCAGTGGGCATGCACCACCACGCGTCCGGGAGCTCTTCCACATAGAGCCCCGGAGTGGGCAGGTGCTGCTGAAGGGCCCCCTGGACTACGAGCGGGCAAACCTCCATGAGCTCTACGTGCAAGCCAAGGACCGTGGACCCTCGGCTGTGGCCGTGCACTGCCGGGTGCTTGTGCACCTCCTCGATGTGAATGACAATGCGCCAGAGGTGACCCTCACCTCTGTGTCCACGCCTGTGCTGGAGGATGCCCCACCAGGCACTGTCATCGCTGTCATCAGTGTTCTGGACCGGGACTCTGGGGACAATGGGCATGTGATCTGCGAGGTCAGCCCCGATGTACCCTTCGAGCTCCACTCCTCCTTCCGCAACTACTACACACTGGTCACCACGCAAGCGCTGGACCGGGAGGTTGTGCCCGAGTACAATGTAAGCATCACAGCACGGGACATGGGCTCCCCCGCCCTGCTGACCCGCAGCACCCTCACCATCCTGGTGTCCGATGTGAACGACAACGCCCCACGCTTCCTCCAGCCCTCCTACAGCGTCTACGTAATGGAGAACAACGCGCCAGGTGCCTCTATCTGCTCCGTCAGCGCATTGGACCCTGATTGCCAACAAAACGCCTACCTGTCCTACTCCATTGCCGATGGGCACATCCATGGCATGCCTGTGGGCACCTACGTGTCTATCAACTCGGACAGTGGGCACATGTATGCCCTGCGCTCCCTCGATTATGAGCAGATCCGCAGCTTCCAGATCCATGTGCAAGCCCAGGACGCGGGTTTCCCCCCCCTCAGCACCAACGTTACCGTCCACATCTTTGTGCTGGACCAGAACGACAACGCCCCAGTCATCATTTCCCCCATGCTGCGCAATGGCTCCATGGCCACCGAGCTGGTGCCGCGATCAGCTGGGCCTGGCTACCTTGTGGGCACAGTGTCGGCGGTGGATGCGGATGCGGGGCTGAACTCCCGCCTCCTCCAGGCCACTGACTTCACCCTCTTCAGTGTGGCACCAGACACAGGTGAGCTGCGCACCCTCCGCTCCTTTCTGGAGCAGGATGCAACCCGGCAGCGGCTGGTGGTGCAGGTGCGTGATGGTGGGCAGCCAGCCCTCTCAGCCACCGTGTCCCTCCTGCTTTCGGTGGTGGAGACCATGCCTCAGACTCTTTCTGACTTCAGCGAGTTCAGCCTCCCCCCGGAGGCCTCCTCATCCTCCCCACTCACCCTCTACCTCCTTGTCTCCCTGGGCTCCATCTCCTTCACCTTCCTCCTTGCCATCCTCATCCTCACAGCCATTCGGTGCCGTGGCGAGCGCTGCTCCCGCCAAGGTGACGGCTGCTCACCACCCCTCTGCCACTGCTGCCCTGGGTCCAGACCCTCCCCTGAGGGCCTGAAGACATCCAACCTGACGGTGCAGCCCCCAGCAGGTACCACGGCTGCCACCTGCCTCGACATACCCGGGGGCGGCCCCCCGGGCTACTGCTACAAGGTCTGCCTCGGTCCTGAGTCTGCCCAGAGTGACTTCATGTTCCTCAAACCCTGCAGCCCCCCCCGGAACAACGAGAAAGACCCCGGGAAGCAGTCCCAGCTGGGCCAGCATCTCCGTGTATCCAAGCAGGTAATGCCATGTCTGGCGCTGCTTACTGGTGCTCTATGGGTCCCCCTGGCCCCCTCTCTCAGCCTCTGCTGTGGGAGAAACCAGGCACGGCTTTTCCCAGAGAATAACCGGCGCCTTTGATCAGTGTGGGAATTAGGAGCCATCAGGCAGCGGGAAACTCTCCACCGAGCTTCCTGACGGGTCTAATTACCAGGGGAGTGTCAGGCTCAGCTGAGATGAGAGGAAATCCCTTCCCACTGCCTTTTGCATCCATTACAGGCAACGGAGATGCTCCGGTGCCCCGGTGCGGATGGGATGGTGGGGATGGCATCTGCTTCCTAGGGGTGAGCAATTCACGCTGGGACAGCCTGAGCATTGCATTGCCGCTGCCCCACTTCCCCTGTGCCAGCGGGGGTCCACAGTGTCCCGCTGCTGCACCTGGGGCTGGACCCGGCCCCGCCAGACTGCTTGTGCCCCTGGTTCTGGCACCCAGGCCCGGCCGCTGTGCCGCACTGGGCTGCGCTGGCAGGGAGGAAGTGGGGTCTTCGGGGCGGGATTTTGATGTCAACATTTGTTAGGTATTGAAATGAGGAATGTCTAATTTTTCTGATGAAAGACTCTTGAAAACACGATTACAAGGATGGAGAGTGATGAGGCGTCTAATCCACTTACGTTTGACTTTTAATAAAACAAGCTCTCTCCTTCTAAGGAGAGCCCAAGACTCGCTGCCAAGAGGCTCTCCCCACGTGTCTCCTTGCACTGCTGGACTCCCTTCTCTAATATGTCAATGGGATTTTCCCCTAGTTGTTTGCAACCCCCCTGGGACATTGGGTATGCAGCCAATTTCCGCACCTCTCACCCTTTGGTGCCTGAGACCTGGGCTAAGTTACCATGGCACCTGCAAAAAAGGCTTTTTAAAATTAGCAGAAATAGGAAAAGCCCCTCTCTCTCCCTGGAAGGACAGACCTTGGCTCTCCCAGAAACGGAGAGCAAGCCCCAGACAACCCCAATGTCTCAGGAAGGTGGGGAATGTCCAGAAGGGAACAGGCTGGTTCAACACTGCCTTAGTTTCCCTAAAATGGGAATGTGCAGCTTCCTTCTCCACAAAGGAGGTGATGGAGTCCTGCATCCCCAGCTACTGAAGCCTTGTGCTGGCAGGGCTGGGCTGATTAACAGAGGGTCCCGGGGCTGATTAACAGAAGGTCCCAATAACCAGCCTTGCCCTTCCCTGTGTTTTCCAGATCAAACAGCCCAACATGGACTGGCTGCCTCCAAGCACGCAGCGACCTGCCTTGAAGAGGTACCAAATCCGGCACTGCGGGAACAGAGGGAGCGGGTGGAAGGGGGATGTCGGGACAGGGAGGTTATCTCCAATGCAGCTTTGAACCGGTCTCCTCTCTTTAGCTCCCAGAGCCTGGAGGACGTGGGGGAAATCCACAGAGCCCTCCAGAAGGAGCATGAGAGGCTGTGCACACTGGTGACCCCTGTCTCTGGTGAGTATTGGGGCTCTGGGGCTGGGAAGAGCAGACCCTCTTGTCGCTTGGTGGAGATGCAGGGGAGGGGGGACACATCCCTGCTCCTAGCAGTGGTAGAGTTTTGTGGCATGGAAGGGGTGTCCAGGCCCCAGAAGGGAGGATGGTGACACATGAATGTCACTGTCCCACTGAGCTATGGATGTAACCTCCCCTGAGTCAGTCTCACGCTCATCTTTCCTCCAGAGTTTCAGAAGGCTTCGGCAGGCACCAACAGCATCTGGACACCCCAGTACAGCCCCTTGTACCCAGGACACATCCCAGCTCTGGATTATCAGCACAATGTCTACATCCCCGGCACCCCCACTCTGCTTTCCAGCAAAGATGGGCCCCTCTTCCTGGGCCGGGAGAACAAGAACAGCTTCTCCACCTTTGGCAAGAGGAAGAAGATGACAACTTACTGTGACATGCACGACAGTGTGGTTATCAACAATGACCTGAAATAGTGACCAGCGCTGGGCCTGGATTGCTCTGCCCAAGGCCCTGGGAATCACTCGCATTATTTCAGCTGCTAGGTCCACCTGCAGCACACAGCTCCATGTATGGACCACTCAGGACTTTGCGGGGCTGCTGAGACAGTGGCTCACCAGCACATGGAGAAAGGATTTAAGAAGCAAGAGACTGAGAAGTGATAGGGATGGGCAGGGGGGGGGGCGGGGGCAGTTCTCCCATCTCATCCTGCAGACCTGTGTTGGCAGCAGGTGCTGTTGGGGGTCCATATGACCAGATTTAAGCAAATCTGCCTTGAGTTTACCCATTCCCATGTCCCCTTAGGGACACCCATCTCTGTAAACATTGTCACCTCTTTGTCTTGTCTGGCTGTGTGAATGTACTGAGCTGCATGCCTGTATTTCTGTCCCAGTAGGCATGGAAAATGTATGCAGATCAAGCCTGGTTCAGTCAAGCCTGACCCTACGTACTGGGGCAGTGACCATTGCTCTGTCCCTGAGATCCAGTGGGATGTGTTGCATGTCCAGAGCAGCCATTGGTGTCTGGCTTCTCTGGGACGTGAGTGCAAAATCCAGCCATTATGGGTGCTTCCCTTCAAACCCTGACCCGACACTTGCAGGGCTGGAGACCCAAAGTCCAGGACACACAGCCAGCCTTTGCTCCGGGAGCAGCATGGGCTGGAGCACACACAGATTGGATGGCCAGAAGAGCTGTTAGTTTAAGCAGCTGAGAGATGCACAAGGTGAGGCCCTGCTGGGTAACTCTCTAGCCCAAGGCAACATCATCTGAACAAAAGACAGTTTCCAGCCATCAGAGGGGCCCCAGCACAGGTGACAGTCCTCTTCTCTCCTTCCCCTGCCCTCACCCGGATCTCTGTTTTCCCCAAGTCCTGAATGACTGGGGGAACCCCTGCACTGGGGGCCCCACCTGCATAGGACAGATATCTCCCACTGCGCCCTGCTTCTCTTTGAGGACTTTTAGCTGGCTGCCAGGAGCCCTCAAGGGCAGAACTCCAGCGCCAGAACAGTCTCTTCCCCTGCCCTGCTCACCCTACACCTGTCCACCCGGTCTGTCAGCCAGCATTGCCAATCGCTCCTGTCACGGGACAGCTCATTTCCAATCCGTCTGTGCAGAACATGACAGCTCTTTCTAAAACAAGTTTGTTTCACACTGTCTGATTTGTACCAATAAATTGTATTTTAATAGCTCACCCTGGCTCCTGCCTGTCCCTGAGCTGCACATGACAGCAGGAAAAAAAAAACTTGGAGCAGGTCTCTCGGCTCCAGCAGACGTGCATGTCCCTCTGGCCTCCTGAGTTGCTGGAGCTGCCTAGGAGAGCTTATTTTGTTCACCTCATGCGGATGCTGGGGGCTCAAGGTCCCCTTCCCTCCCTGCCTGGACTCAGGAGCACTTTGGGGTCATGGCCAGGAGGAGCTGTGTGCTGGAGATGTCACACCGCTCCTTGCTCCACGCTCCAGCTTGGGCAGAGACTCTGCAGGGATTTGCACCAAGGCGCGGGCATAGAGGGCTTTGAACTGCTGGGGGGAGGGGCTGGATCTGGCAGTAACGGCTTATTGTTGTTATTGTGCATTGCTTTCTAAGGTTCGTTTAAGCTTTCCCCTAGATGCTCACCACCCACCAGCTTGCCTCGGGAGTCGCAGGGATAACCTGGATGTGTGCCAGGCGTAGGGACAAACTACCTAGGAGTAGGCAAGCCGGTATCTGCTGGTGGGATGACTCTTGACTTGATGTGGGAAGTGGTTCACCTTTGGATGAAGTCCTGAGTTGGCCATGGTGTGGCTGTCCTTCTCTTACCCCCTGCTTGCTCAGTGACTGGCTTGGGGAGGCTGCAATGCGGCTTTTGGGATTAACCCAGAAAAGTCCTTGTCTACAAGCGGGTAACATGCTTTTTAGGGGAAGCAGGGGGCAGGGAACACTCAAAAGGGCCCCATGGGAGTCAGGGACCCAGAAGGACAGTGCTTTGGACATGAAAGGGACCTGACTGCTTCTGGTGACTTCAGTCCCAGCTCACATCTGCCTGGCTGTCAGTAGATGAAATATTCCCTATCCCAATTAAGACGGTAGGACAAAGGATTTTATGCTGCCGAATGCATTCTTCAATGGCCTCTGCAGAGTGGTAAGGGTAAAAAAAGAACCCCAAACAGCCACTGCCTGAGACCCCTGTACAGCATTAGCCTGTTTCACTGCTTCAAAAGAACAAGTGGATTTTGTAAAGTGATACAATAAAATTAACAACAGCCTCAAGAAGTAATGAAAGCATCAAAAGGACCTGACTCCCTGTAGGGCCAGCGAGCATCTCCCTCTCCCAGATTAGCTCTCGCAATATCTCCCCTGCCACTTTCAGGAGGTGCCGGTCAGGCGTTAGGAGAGGACTGCAGCCCCTCTCCAGCGAGCCCACAGGGGCTCAGCCACAGCCCCTCTACAGCAGGGCCAAGCCGTTATCTCGGTTTTAGCTCACATAGCAAAAGTACCCAGTACATGTGCTTCATCGTAACCAGGATCTAAATGAACACGTGGAGCTGGCGCTTTGGATCAGATTCCCAGGTGTGGCTTCCCAAAGGGAGGTCTCAAAATTGAGCCCCAAAACACATAGGCATTTTAAATGGACACTTTGCACCCCTGTCCTTGGAAATTCATGAGATTGAGCAATGAAGCAGCCAGCTTTTGCCACCTCCCCACGAGTGTGTCATTCTCCAGTGTGTTTTGTTGACATTTTTTAACCCCTACAACTAAGGCTCACACACACGTCTGCGCCTCTCGCTGATCCCTAGGTTTGCACCATAATACAAGGTCAGGCCTCTTTCAAAAGGGATTTGAGGGTCAACACAGAGCCCAGCTCAGGCCCCAGCACCCCACATTCCCTGAGGATCTCCTTCTGCTTGGTTGAAAGAAGTCCTGCACTGACAAGAGCTAAATTTCAATCTCTCTTCTCAATCAACGTATCGATAAAAAGGACAATAAAAAGGGACTTGCTTTAAGGGAGAGAGCACTTGCTTAAACCTAGTTCAACCACACTACTATTCCTTCTTCAAAGGGCGTGCCTGGTCAGAATTGTCCATCTAATAGATGAGATCTCCTTTGAAGATCTCCCACAGGGACAGGGTGTCATTAAAAATGCAAGGTCTTTGCTCTACAACCAGTTATTTTTACAATTCTTCCTGTGCTTACACTCCTGCACAGTTCATGAGCATTAGCTGGTTTCTGTAGTCTGGTAATGCACTGGGCATGAAAGCCACTTCGGAGACATACTCAACAGCACGCTCTCTATATGCCCCTCTCATACGTTCCAGCTCACTCAGAGATCCAGAGGCAAATCTGGCTTTCAGAGACCTGCCAGCCAGCTTGAGATTTGCTTTTACAACAGCAGGAAAGCTGCCATGTGGTGCAGTTGGCTGCAAAATGCTGCAGGCCATGCTAGGCAGGCACACAGTGCTTCTGGGCACCAGCACAAATAGGGTTTTTTTTGTGTTCTTGCTATTGCTGACTAGACTCTTTGGATGGAAACATCACTTATATCTCTGAAATGACTTGAAGGCGTATACCAGAGAGACAAAATGAATCCAGAGGTAGAGAGAAAAGAGGCCGGAGAAAAAGGACCCAGAGGGGTTGGTGCTCAACTCTACTCCAGTCTGCCATGCATGGAGTCAAGTAGCAGCCAGTGAAGCCCCCAGGAAACCTTAGCAGGGACGCAGCACTCTGCATGTGGTCAGGTTAGGCTGGGTAGAGCCATGAATACAGGCGGTCTCAGCTCCCCAGAGGGATTGGTATCGGCAGGACAGACCTAAAATCCACGGAGATCAGTGGGCGTCTGCACCACCTTGGAGGGCTCTGGATCCAGCCCAAAGCCTGTCCCACTCAGTGGTTAATTAACAGTGAAGTCTGTGGCACTTACTGGTTAATTACAGTCTCCAAAGATGTGAGGACTTAGTTTTCTTTTCTTTTCTTCTCACTTCAAGATGATGCTGGAACGAACACACCTTAATTTAGCCAGGACTGGGTCAAGGTCCATCTTGATTTCTTTTCAAATTGCCTCAGTGTCTTAAATATCTCCCTGGACTCACCCTACAGAACAGCCTGCTGTTCTTGGCTGGATCCCCTCCTCTTGCTTCCTTTTTGATCTCAGTAGATGTTTTGTAGAAATAAATATCCTTTTAGCTTTTGTCACAATAATTTAGCTTCTGCCACACTGAAAAATGGTCTGCATGATTGTCACGTGCTGATTTTCTCGGCTTCTTTGCACCTTTTCTTTTTTTTACTGCTCTGAAAACATCAGTTGCCAACTCCTCCACAGAGATCAGATGAAGAAACAGGCCTGGGCTAAGTGAAGCTTTTGCCTCCCCAGTTTGCCTATAATGCGTTTTCAATTTAAGTGGTGGAAATGTCACTGACTCTGTTTGCAGCGTTCACTCAAGTGGAATTAATGCTTCTTGTTAGTGATAATATGACTTAATCGGCTTAATTATTGTGAGACATAAGTAGACACCTTTGTGTATTGAATAACTAATGATGTACTGGACCAAAAAGCACGAATGAAGGCTTTGAAAATAAATTAAATATGACCTCTAGTGCAGTCTGCATTTCGACTAATGATTCGTCTCCCATGAACTACAATGATTTACAAATCTTACATTTGAATAAATGATACCTTTTTGCATGTTTTAAACAATAGCAGCAATTTTTATTTCAGCATTCGGAATTCAAAGTGTTTCTCCAATGCCAGGAAGCAGGGCAAACAAGTTCATGTTAAACGGATTGAAAAATAAAACATTAGTGCAGTCAACCATCAGAAATACATCCAGAGGTACTGCAGGCATTTGTGATGAGATATTTATTTTAATTCATTGCTAGGAATATCTGCAACAACAGGTGGAAAAATGCATCAGAAGAAATGAAGAGAGAGTGAAGATTCCCAGAAGGGTCACTAAGGTCTTCACATCAAATCTGTTCATTTCAATAACGTCTACAACATAAAATA